AGCAGCAGCATCTCCCTGCGGCCAGGAGAGTCTCCCACGCACACCGGCTCAGAACGCTGGTGAATGTCCTTCGGGAGCTGGTGCAGAAACAACACATTTCTGAGGAAACCGTGAGTTTGCTGCAGGCCCAGTTTTCAGGTACTGCTGGGGGTGTTTGCTAAGGCAGATTGCTTCAGGGTCTGTACTCCCTCGCCCCAGTGTTATTTATGTATTTGTTTTGACTTGATGGTATTGGTAATCCCCGATTGTTAGATTCCCGGGACTATAGTGCAGAGGCTTTGTGATTTGGAGGTCTGCAATGCAACAACCTATCCTGCAAAGAATTAAAAGTCTCCCTGGAAACTTGTGGTTCACTACAGTGCTCAGGTCAGACCTCTAACCAAGGCTATTAAATGAAACCGTGCCACCATTTGGCTGATAGATGACTCAAGAACAGAGTATATTTAACTAGAAAAACCTTGCCTGTTGTGCTGTCCTGAAGCAAGTTCTGTTAACATATTTAATAATACAACTTGAAGAAGCTATTTCAAGTTGCAGAGTCAGCCATAGGTTAATGGCTTCTCTCATGTCATGTCAATTTTTAAGCAGCACTCACACATAGAGACACAGTCTTTACTCAAAGCTGTGGAATGACATTAGCTATGAAAAGATACGTTGGAGACTCTGCTTCAGACAGTGTGGTAGGTGACACGCTCCCTGGCCGCAGCCCGTCCCTAGGGAGAGGTGGGGCACAGCTGAGGTGCTGCCGAGCTGTACCCTTCACAGCAGGCTTGAGGACTGAGCTGGTTGCAGGGGCAGCCTTGTTGCCTCGTATTCTGCGGTGTGTTTATGTTACGTATCCTTCTGTTAAGTCATAGCCTATTTTTCTCCTTCACTAAAGCTAACCTTTTTTCTTTTTTTTTTTAAAGCAGATTTGCCTTTTGAGTTGCACAGCTGGATGCAGATGGCAGAATACTCACAAGAAATGAGGCAATTTGCTTGTGTTCTCCACTTCTACCATACTAATGCCTATGATTATCTACGGAAGATTTTTCCCCTTCCTCATCCTTACAGCCTGACAAAGCAAGTGTCCATTCTTTCATTCTGAATGTGTTTTCAGGTGCTCATGTAGACATAGTAACAGGTAACAGGTCTGTCCTGAAAACATTCAGCAGTAGTAGTTTTTCCCTGCTTTGTTTTAGCAACAGAAGCAGAATGGCAGGCAGATGTCAAGAAATATCGATGCCTCTCATCTTTGAGAGCTACCACATGTTAATGTACATGTGTCACAGCATGAGAACAACACATTCCTCACATGAACAATTTTAGAGACTAAGTGTGGAGTGTGCTAAGTATTTCCAGATGAGTACAGGTATGAAAAGTAAAATTTCAGGGCCTCAGCTATTGGAGGCTCTATGTGTGTTTTACTGCTCACTGAGGAGGAAAGAGGAATACAAAAAAGCAGAGGTTCTTTTATCACATTGGCACCTGCTCTTGTCCAGGGATGTGTGCTGTAGACTTGTGAGAGGGGAGGGATGAGCCAAAGAGAGGAAGGAGGGGCAAATACAAGTACAGGAGGCAGTGTTAAGGGAGCATCTGCAGTACTCCAACAACAGCCAAAACCAAGTGAGGAGAAATGGGCAGGAGAAATTGCCAGTAGAGGAAGTGAAAACCAATTGGACTGTACCTGGAAAACTTTGTGACTGTTTTCTGGAAAACAGAGAAGTCAAGAAGGGAACACGAGAAAGTGAAAGACTGCATAAAGCAGTTAGAGTTTTGGTTTTTCTCACACCACAAGGGTTGTAGGAAGTTAGTGAATCTTTACAAGCTTGGTTACAAAGTTAAAAAAGGGAGATATTTCTGTATTGCATAACCCATTTCAAGCAGTTATGTAGGTTCAGAATTTCCTGCCTGAAGTGCTGTTAGACCTGTTAGCAGGAAGTTGTAACAGTGCACAAACAAAAAGCTGGACAAACTCTCCTCCTACAGGTTTTGAGTCCCAGGCTGGAGGGGATGGAGGGTGAGCAAAAGACACACACATACTCTGTGCCAGCCTGTGAGGGTTTCACACAGCTTCCTGCAAAGAAGCTGTTTGAGGGGGTGCCAGGAGGGTAGTGGATGGAGAGTGTATTGAGGAGACTAGCATTTGTGGGCTGCTGAGGATTTCATATCTTCCAGTCTGGATTACAACATACAGTAGGGAGAAAGCCAGTTGGAGAGGACAGCAGCCTGTTGTTGCTGACCCTCTGCATAGTCTGATTTGCCTTTCTGTGTTTAAGTTTTTTTCCTGTTGTCCTGATTTCTTGATAGGAGAGGCAGGAAGGTGCTTTGTTACTTCCATCCATGGTCAGTACTTTTGCTTGGCTCTCCATCATGGGGGTGTGAGAAAAGAAACTCAGACTATGCACTAAGGCAGGGCTACTTGCCTTGTAGTCTGTCTTGGGCTGCTCTGCATGTGGCTGACCATGTCATACGTGGTAGAAGGTGCTGACTGTTGCTTAAGTTTTCTCAGAATCACATCTTCTAATTGCATCCTGCCTTTATTTCCAGTTGGCTGTCTAATAATGAGGCTGCTGCAGGCTTCAGCAACAAAATTTTTCTTCGCCTCCAGGAAAAGGTGGAGCGGGGAGAACAGGCTTACTGCTACTGTGCCTTGATGGTACAACACATGTCCCTGCAGAGGCAGCAGGAGTGGGATCCACAGACCCAGCGCCAGACAGGGTTTGTTGACTTGGGAGCAGGTGTTCTTGATGCTGATGAAGCTCCGCTGGCCTCAGAAGCCATAATCCTCATGGCAGTTGGCATCTCAAGTCCCTGGACAGCTCCACTTGGCTACTTCTTTGTGAACAGCATGACTGGCCACTTACTTGCACAGCTTCTTCGTCACACCATCCATAAGCTGAACAACGTTGGCATCACGGTGCTAGCTGTGACGGCCGGTGCCACCGCCTGCGGCGCCGAGACCGCCAGAGCTCTGGGGATCAGGATGGACCCTGAAAGGATTCAGTGCACTTTCCAGCATCCACCTGGCTCTGCTCACACCATCATGTACTTCTTTGACGTTTGCCACGCGCTCCAGCTGATCAGGAATGACAGAAGATAGAGTGGCTCAGTGACACTGTGCAGTGGCAGCATGTGGTGGAGCTGGCCACTTTGCGGGAGCAGAGGGTATTAGAACCATGCAGTCCCAAGTCAGGCAGACTTGGAAGTAAGGAGATTTACCACCTGAAGGTCAACCTTGCTACCCCTTTGTTCAGCGAGGGCGTTGCTGATGCATTGGAACACCTCCAGAAGCTGGGCCTAGCCTCTTTCCAGAACTGCAGTGGTACTGCCAAGTTCGTGCGTTTGATGAGCTCTCTGTGCGACGTGTTTCATGGCAGAGGTTCCTATAGAAGGGGACTGAAGTGGCCTTTGCTAGCTGGAAATTACACCAAAATAAGCCACCTCTTTAATGAGGCCAAGAGCTGCTTTGTCACCTTCACAGACTCTATGGGGAGACACATTATTAAGAGCAAACGCAAACTAGGATTTTTGAGTTTCTTACTCAATGCCGAAAGCCTCAAGTGGCTTTACACCAATTACATGTGTTCAGAAGGTGCCTCTTCCCGCCACCTCCTGACCTGTGCCTTCAGCCTCGACCCCCTGGAGCTGTTCCTTGAGGCTCTCCGGGAAGCCTGTGGCAGCAGTGGGAGCCCCACCTGCTCTGTGTTCCAGGCCGCTTACCACAAACTGCTGGCCAGCTGCAGCCTGGCACCGGGCTCACCACGCAGCGGTGCCTCGGGCAACACGAGTTCCTTGGACGCGTCCCTGTCCCGCAGGAGAGACCTGACCCTCGGCAGCATTCGTGCTCAGTATCGCCCAGCTGGTGGGAGGACGCTGGCAGCAGAGTGCCCCTGCTGTGCAGGCCTTCTTCTGCATGGCTGTGAGCTGAGTAACGCGCTGACGGACCTGTCCCTGCGCGCACGGAGCGTCACCCGCGCCACGGGCATCGTGGCTGAGCAGCTGGCCTCTGGCTGCCCCTGTGAGCCTTGTCTTGCCTCGCTCTTCGAGCCGGAGGAGAGCGGGCCAAGGTGCGGGTCGGTGCTCTACGTAAGGAAGTTGGGTGGAGTGAGCCTGCCCTCGGCGAGCCTGTACCGCGTAACAAGCCTTTTGGAGCAAGTTCTGAACCGGTATAGCAAAGTAGGAGGTGGCAACAAAGAAAGCAAGCTATGGCGTTTGTCTCTAGAACGGGAAGTCTTCCAGGAGCTTCTGGGAGAAAGGCCCCTCTTCCCCACCCTTACGAACCATTTATTTGACGGGGAGTTGAGCGTCAACAATCACTACACAGCCTTAGTAAGGGAAATAATACGATGGTACTTGAACATCAGAACAAAGCATGCCAAACACTTGAACTTGAGGTACCATTGTGGAAGGCACAGCTTGGGGAGATTGAAGGGAAAACATTTGTTTCTGTCACCACTGGGTAGCTGTCAGTCAAGCCAAACCCACACGGGGTCATGAGTACTCATTGCTGATCCAAGAATGGCTCTCCCCTACTGAGGCTCAGTGATGGCCACACCTGGGCAGTACATACAAGGAGATAATGTGGTGTCTCCTTGTGATTTGGCCAGCAAAACTGATGCTGATAAGATGTGATATGTTGGGCCACTGTGAACCAGCTGATCAGCTTGGCTGAGAAAAGCAAGGAAGTTCTTGCCCTGTGTTTGCCTAGCAATCCTGCAAAGCAGCCACATATTCCATGAGCCTTACATGGCAAGTCAGGATGAGCAATGGTTGCTCAAGATACCTGGGATACCACAGTGTCCCCTGGAGGTGCTGGTTGGCTTAAGGCTGTGAGTGCTTTTGCCAGGACAGAAATTGATGCATCTTCCATGCTGTTTTGGGGATCATGTCCTGGCAATTTGATTTCACCAAAGCAAATCTGCTTTAAGAAAGCTGGAGGTGAGAAAGCTTGCAGAACTTCTACTTACAAAGGAAATAAAGATGAGAAAAGAAAATGGCACTCAAGTTGTACACAATCTCTAATCTCCACTCCGACATTTCTCATCAAACAGCTAAATAAGCTGTTTAAAGTCAATTCTCTGGAAGGGGGGACTACAATATGAAGCTGCACCCCTAAAGACCATGTGTTACAAATGAGGTAGTGGATACTAGCAGAAGGGCTGTTCCTGAAGGTTTGTGGGCAGTGCTGAGGTTGTGACCAGGCTGTTGCACCCAGCAGCAGGGAGGGGCACTGACACCCTCCTCTGGGCAGGAGCCCCAGGCTGCAGCAAACAGGTGTGCTGCAGCAGGACAAGCGTTTCGGGTCCCATTACATGGGCCTATCAGATTACCCACTCATCTCTGCCCCATGGCCCCATCCTCCCACAGTGGGCATGTGTCCTACATCCCAGGGCATGAGTGTACGATGCAGGGAGCATAAAACTAGCACAAATCACAAAGCTCGACACTGCAAACAAACATCTGGTGCCAGGGCAGACATGGGGGCTGGGTGAAGATTCAGTGGTCTGTGTCCCTGAGGCCCTGACAGGGAATGTGGAGTGCAGTGAAGGCTGCTTACCTCGTTCTCCCACCTGGCTCATGGCAGTCTACTCCCTGCAGATGCAAATAAGGAAGTTACGTGCTAATTACAACGCCTAATTGTCTGCTCACAGCCCCATCCCC